TAGCCGTGTTTGAATTTTAACACCCGTATGGGTCGAAGTTCGTATTGGCCTTTAGTCGAGATGCATCCCCATAGACGTACTAACCTCACATGCCCCTACATGTCTGTGTTTTTACTGGTCGTTTTTGGCAGCTACATTCCTGGCTTCTATGGAAAAGAATCAATAAACCACAGGTAGTGATTGGTTGTATATTAGTGATAATAACATCCGTGGTAATCAAAAAGACAGGCACCAAAATTGATTTTCTTCGTGCATTTTTACATCGATATTGTATATTAGAAAATCTGGGTCTCTATAGAATGAACCTACTGTTTGGGGGCGAGGCTGTCTCTACAATGATTAAGACATGTACCTTACTACCAAATCCCTCGACTTGACCTAGTCGTTGGGGACAAAGATAGGAACATGTACGTAGAGATGGAAACGATCCAAGTAGAACAGTTCCACCCGAATTCTAAATCGGCATTTGCTCGAAAAGTTTTCATATATTTTCATACGAAGTTATAGATAGAATATGCATTTAATATCTGGTCTTGTCAAACCGATTTTCTTCGTTCCCACTATAAAACGTATCCGGACGTGTCTAATTCTAGGCCTGTCGTAGTGGCTTTATAAAACACAGCGCTACTTTGTCAGATTAGTTCAGAAGGCTTATAAAATCGATATTTCCCCGCAGGAAGAATGATATGATCGCCGCCACCCCCGGCGATAGATTAACGGTTTTCATGCGCCATTTCTTCTCCGTATGGTAATTCTTCACTGATCAAATATGATTCATCACTCCCTTGTGAGATTCATCTTCGTCGCAAGGTTTTACAGCTGTAAATAATAAAAACACTGCGGCTCAGGCAGCTCACTGTGAGCTGGAGTAATTCCCACTCTTTACTTTGTTTTTAATTCAAAGGCTTGTGACAACACGTTGTATTGAAGTTCATAATAATACATATATGAAAGAGCGTAGCGGGTGTAAAAAATTGCACAGTTCATATGTCTAGAAAAAATGCGTGCAAGAAATTGGGAGGTATATACAAAATTACAAAAGGCAAAATACTCGGACTTAATGGAGAAGTTAACCTGTCTTCTATGCATAAATCTATCTACAATCATTACTGGTTTATCTCCTGTGAGGTGCCACTCCAAGAGAAAGATGTTCACTCAAACCCTAAAAATGTATCTTCAGTCCATTTGTACATGTCTGGAGGGGCCAATATTTTGGTCACCAATGGATCCATCTTCCGACATGGTCAATGGAAAGGAAGACATTTTACCATTAATATACGTTATCTCCATCATGTTTCGCCACAAGCGAGCACGTTTTATATGTATTATACATGGCTAAAGTAAGCACACCGCTGCGAGCAAAACGTGAACACACGTGGAGAATTCCAAACTTTCGTTTCCTTTCTACAAGAATCAATTTGATTGTTCGCTTGCGTGATGAAGCGGGATTAAGGCTCATATCCCTGTGTATGAGTTTTCGTATGATTGATGGCACACTGAACATCTATAAACATATCAATACCAAGTTTCGTGGAAAACTATGTCCATGGAGAATTTGGCAATGTATTCCCAAGCATTACTTGTTATATTTCTTATACATCTGACAAATTACCGTTGTAGATGTACGATAAGATGTACAGTAACGCTAACGCTGATGGATAGTTTATTTGATTGTTGTCTGCGGTACAAACTTGAACACCACAAATCTTCCCGAGACTGCAAGCTGTGATAACAGCCCTCTGGGTGAAATATATCTGACTGTTCTTCTGCACAGATATCACCCCCACGCTTGCTTGCAGTGCGTGGCTTTACATGCGCCTTGTGAAAAAGTACAAACTCTATAGCAAACTTTCTGCAGCTGGTGCAATCTGTCTATCCTAAAACTAAAACGCTCTTTTCTGATACGGTCGAGTATGGATGAGTTGATGTATCCACAGTTGGTTTTGTGGATAGATTTTAGTCTTCTAAGTCTGTAAAACGGCCAAGTTGTAAATCATTATGTTAGAACCGGAATATTCAGGGTCGCTGGGAATTTTCGGCTTTACTTCTCATGTTTTATCTTGAATTCTGCTAGTCGGTCAAGGTTAGGTTGGATTCCTACGTTTTCCGCTATTTTGGGAAGCAGAAAAGAGAGATAAAATTGTCATGAAATGACGCATGTCTGCACAACCTGGATTCTGTGTGCACAGAGAACCCAGGAAAAGAGTGTGTAAATTAACGTCGACAGGGAAATCGTCCAGAAGCTACTATCAGCAGCTTTCTATGCGTCCGTTCACACCCCAAAATCCTTGCCCTTCTGACGAGTAAAACGATATATAACATGCCCAGACCGCAGAATACTAGTAAACTACCCGGGCATTTACTGATAGATTTACTGCGCACCGGACAGCAAGATAAGACCTTCCCACAAAAGGAAATCTTCAGTATCTCCTTTTTGCGATAAGGAGTCAATTTAATTGCTATCTAGGTCACTTCCTTTCCCACACGTCAATGGATCAGATTTAGGGCGTAGATGCAGACGCTCGATGATAGACCTACCAGACCGTGTGGTGTATACTGGCAGTGGAGAATCGGAGACAGTTGAAATCCCCGCTGACTATTTCGTTCTCCATGGCTAAGCTCCCTCCTTTTGTAACATTACGCCGCCTCCAGCGTTGGAAGCAGAGGATGACGCCGAAATAGATGAAGGTGTCTCTCGTCGCGACAAGCAGCTTGCAGCTACGGATTCTGGTTCAACCACAACACCGTAAAAGGCTCGAACGTAGTCTCCTGACTTTGCCACTATGACGGTCATGATAAAAAATACTTGGCACTATGCTTCACCTTCAGAATTTCCCCTGGAGGTCATATAACAACTTGAAGACACAAACGCTGGAACATTTTTAGTACATACTCATGTGAATTTAGTATGTACTGAATGTAATCTACTACTTTTTTTATGTCTATTGTCATTATTACAAAGATGAAATATGTATTAATATCTTCTCTTGTGATTGATTTACCCAATAACATAATATACTATCCTACAGCATGGTATCCTATAACATTCTTTCTTTCTGAGCCCACTTTACGTCTACTTGTGTGTGGCTCTTTTCAATCATATTAAAAGTACTGTTCTTCGCTTCCAGAATGTTCGGCCCAATCGTCCATAGGCCTCACCTTACCAGACATCGTCAACACCATCGTGGGAGACCCCGTCACCTTGCCTGCTACTTTCCAGACAAATCGCCAGGTGATGTCCGTGTCATGGAGCAAGCTCAACCCGAGCCAACCAGCGAAGAAGAGAATACCCGTGCTTCAGTATTTTCCCACCTTGCAGAAAACAGAGTCTTACGGTAGCTTTAAGGGAAGAGTAGCCCTCGAGGGGAGGGCATCTTTGAAAATAGAGCGCACGACGAGAAGAGATGGCGGAACATACGTGCTGGGGATCGTGGGAGAGGGATTCCCCATTGAGGAAGGATTCATTGAGATGAATGTTTTAGGCAAGTTTGAAAATCGTGTTTAAAGGTAATACGTTTGTTCCAACACAAAAGAGAAATTTAGAGCTTTCGATCAGTCACTCTGATCTCCCAGTGTTGGAGTCACACTTCAGAAAAGCCACGTGATAACTCTCACTGGGTCAGTCTGCTGAGGATGACAGGTCGAAAGCTCTGGGTGAGAACATTTCTCTTTTGTGTTGGAACAAATGTTTTACCTTTTAAACATGTAACTACCAACACATAGTACAGATTAACTTTCATGATACATGTAGTATAAGTTTGATAATCATCCAGATACGTGTATCTTTTCCTCTCTGGTGATATAAAATGTTTTCTTTGAAAAATTGACAACTATTCAGCATACTATATACATGCCTCCCATTAGTACCTCTGATAAAGTTACAAACGCAGGCCATCTGTCATAACAGTCTGTGTTTTGTGTGTAGTCCCACCAAAAGTTGAAGTCGGTCCCACCAAGCCCTACGTCACAGCCGAAGGTCGGTCAGCGTCTCTGACATGCGCAGTGAGGGACGCTAGTCCCAACGTGACGTCACTCCGCTGGGAGAAAGATGGCACCGCGATCGACACCCTCAGATTCGACTCCAAATATTCGGACGGGACACTGCAGTCACCTGACCTGCTGATACATCACGTGACCAGGAGCGATGCAGGACGGTATCGCTGCGTGGCAGGTCACGTGGTCAAGTCTGTGGGTGACAGTCTCACACTGGAGGTCCGATGTAAGTAAAACACTGGAGCCAACTCTGTATTGAGACCAGTCGGTCACCTGGGCCTTTTTTGGCCACCCTTAGATCAGGTCTCCCTATTGAGTCAACGTCCTACTGTCACTACGTTTCATGTTACTTATCATAGTCACTAGTATAGACAGAATGGACTATACCCGTAAAGTTTGGTGAATTATTTAATAGTAAAGTTATTTTATCCACAACCATTAGTTTAATTACATGATCATATGAGCTGACGTTTCGATGACCGTCTGTCATCTTCATCAGGACTGGCATGACCGGTTTACTGTAAAATAGAAACGTTGTAAGGAAGTGGGGAAAATTGACAAAAACGGACATGTATGCCATCAAATACGGATTTGATGTTCTATACTGTTTCATGACCAATTTCTAGAATAAGTACTCAAAATATTTTTTTCTCACAGATCCCGCAACGATTGTCAGTGTGTCCGACTCACTCACCGTGGCCGTGTCAGATAACGCCGTGTTACAGTGCGTCGCGGAGGGACACCCTCCCCCGAACGTCACGTGGTCCAGAAACGGAGTGCGCCTGCGCGGTACGACCAAGAGGCTGTCCCGTGGCGTGTGCACGAGCTCCCTGGTGCTGCAGAAAGTTCGGCTGAACGCCACGGGAACATACGTGTGCACCGCGTCAAACAACGTGGGGAAGGACGATATCAAGTCTGTCATGCTCTCTATCAGAGGTATATGTAATTGGTTTCTGAATCAAGAAGTTTATGGTGTATTTTTCAAAGATCTCACTCACAAAAATAGTCCATAATTCATCATCAGAGTATGCTACCAGTATCGTATGTGGCGTGGAGCATTGATGTATTGGAGTCATAGCTGTGGATTCAATACTGATATTTTTTCTTTTAAGGTTTGAACTTCAAGTGCATACCAGAGTCAAGTCAGGTTAAAGTCAAATATGCCAAAAAAGCTGAATTGCAAGTAACTGGATATAATGTTGGAAACGGTTTCAGGTAGCATCCACTACATTTCGACAGTGACACTGGTCAAATGACGAATGGTAGTGGATGCTATCTGAAACGTCTGAGCGTTTCCAAAATCATATCTTATTACCCGGATGTCTAACATTCGTCGACGTATAAAGTCAAAGTACATTCATTGACGTAAACGACATCTTACATTTCCCCCAGTTGCCCGTACGGGAGGTGAGGGGGTGGACGTGTTGATCCTGGTCGGCGCCATCGCGGGCGGGATGTGGCTGGTCATCTGTCTGGCGCTGGCCGTGTACTTCGTGCGGCGGCGGAGACAGCGGCAGGAGAAGAAGCGCTTCTCGTTCTACTACAACATGGGGCGGGGGCAGGGCGACAAGAGCGGGGACAGGCCCGGGGAGGAGACTCTGGAGGTCACCCGGCACCCCAACCTTAAGCCGCCCGGTACTTTCGTCTTAGTTTTCGTATTTGTATTTATTTGCAATGATACAGATCATTACAAGGCTAGGGTTTTCATTTGGATAATTTTTACCCAGCTATGTCATGGCGACGCAGTCAGTTAAAAGGAATAGCACAAATAACAAAAATACAGAAGTAAAGTTTGTTGAGAGGAACAACTTTGTGTCTTTCAAATTGTTCAAATTTGTTCCTTTTTATGGTTGTGCTCTCCAGTGAAGCCGCGTTCTCCCAGTGCACCGTACGGCGGCATAGAGACCATCAGACGGACATCTAACAAAGGGAAGGGTGAGTTACTGGAGACGTACTAGTTTCATGGAATGCATTTTCGTCAATGACTCAATGTGGTTACGGATAATAAACTGTAACTAATGGACGAGGCAAAGGATAAAATGCCACCTTTATCATCAACAATTAAAAATGCACATGCATTGATGTCAACATCGTTCGTTACTCATAGTGAAACATTGCAGTGCCTCAGGCTTGGTCAAGCTTGGTGTATTGACTAGAACTTGCTTAGTAAAAGTCTGTTGTTTTGTTTTCTTTAAGTAGTGAGGAGATATGCCCGCGCCCTGTACTGCTACCGCCCGGCAGAGGAGAACGAACTGGCTCTGGAGGTAGATGACGTCATCGAGGTGCTGGAGGGGGAAGATGGCGGCTGGTGCCTGGGTTACCTGAGGGGCAGGATAGGCCTGTTCCCCTCCAACTACGTCAAGTTCCTGTCCGCGTCACAAGGTTTGGCAGTACGTTGAGTTGTGCGCAAATTATTACCGACTCACAATGTATCTTAGATTCTGTTAAATGTAAATTATTAACTAATTATCCGTTCGTAAGATTTGTGGTGCCATCTACCAGTCTATGTTGTTTGTAGACTATCAATGCATCTATTCAGTAAAAAAAATGATATTTAACTAACAGGAACGGGTACAAGGGATTACTTAATTTGTTGGCGATGCAAGTACATTAATAGTTGTTATTTTTTCACCAGTGTCAGCCGCCAAGCTAAGGGAAATATACGAGCCTGTCGAATCCAAATCCTCGTCATCCAAGGCCAGTCTGTGAAGAGAATTTACGACAGTGATATAACACGACACAAGGCCCGATTTACCACAGATACAGTTTTGTGGCAGAAAAGAAGACAAGGAATTCGAAGGACCGGGGCACAAACATGAAATGTCTTCATTGGTACTATGTCCTGCTTCGATGACTGCTTGTGTTAGTGAATAATGTACAGGGAATTAACGTATGTACGGACGTCCCAAAGCAACTAGATATCCCCATGTGTATATGTATCTTGAAACATGGACGAAGACGTTTGCTGTATAATTTTGTTATTCTATATACGCCCCATCTACCACAATAACGCTTCTTTAGCATGTGCTAGAGCCATAAGACCCCGGAATCTGTAAATATGATATGGAGTCATCTTCACAGAGAAACAAATTCCGTTGCTGTTATCGCTACTGTATTAGCAGGCGACATGTATTTTCTCAAAGTTTAGGTATAAACTGAAACCCAAATAAATTTATAGTTGTCATCGTAGTCGTAGTGAAAATATTGCGTAGGGTAACGGTCTTCGGTATTTGTCAACAAAGTGTGCCCTGTTTCAAATAACTTGTACATATCAGGTATTTCTTGTTAATATGAGCCCATGCGGACGATTAGAGTATTACAGGGTGATTACTGTTATATTGAAGACCTTCCTGTGATATATTTAAGATATCAAAGGTACCGAGTACCTGATCGTAAACAATGTAGTTCCAAGGAATAGGCGACCTAGACGACCACTGACACTGGTAGATCTGAAAATTAATTCTATAGTTTAAAGGTGTAGATATGTGATGAGGAATCGCCCATGCCATTCTGACTTTGGAGTCAGTGCTCCAGACAAATTTATGAAAGAGTTTTGTGCACTGTTTGTTTGTTTGTTTGTTTTTGTTTTATTAGAGTTACCTCCCAGCATTATGGGCAATTTGCAATTGTCTGATACGGGAGATAATGGGTATACATGGAAAAATATCAATCTTTTCTTTCCGAATTCAACTGGATAAACGCTAGAATGTGTACATGTATATACAAAATATTATGTGCATTTGTTTTAAATATCCAAAAAGCCTGACTTATGAATCCTGTCATCTACGCTCTGATTAGATGTTGTTGTACCTCACAAGGCTATTTCACAGTTATACGCTGTAACCATAGCTGTACAAAAATAAGGCAGAATTTGTCCTTGGAGTTTCTTGTCTTTATTTACGCTTCACTTTTTCCACAACGGTTTGAAATGATACAACTTAGCCGAAAGTTGCTTATTATGTACATTGTTAGGCCCGATGTCACTTCGTGCCGTCTACTGTAGTTGTATTAAATAATAATGATTCTCTGCATATACTGCATATACGATGTAGATATATCATCAACATCTATTCTTCATTAACAGGAGACGTCATGATAAAACTGAAGTATCTATAGCTGTATTAAAGCTTAGCGTCGAAAGTAATTCTTGTTTTGTACATGATTTCATGGTTGATGCATTTCTCCCAGTTATTTCTCGGTAAACCACATTGCACATAATAGGTTCGGTATTTACACATAATCAAAGTGACTTACACACTTGACAGGAGTTTATAACTTTGATTTTCCTGATTTTTAATTACTGAATCTGAATACACGTTCCGTCTCTCTTTATCTTTGGGTTGTCAGTAGAACGCATACATGACTCATTCGATCAAACCATCAAAACTTTCTTCATCCAATTCCAATGCAATGTACACTTCGAACTTTATCCTCGCACACTCCTTTCAAATGCACCCACATCAATGATGTAGACCGTCCAAAAGAAGCGATCATCTGCCAACAGTATAGGGGGTCAAATAGCGCTGCCTAGCGGACACGATGATAAGTGCAGTTGGACTCGCCTTCTAGACGCTTGACTTTCCCGATCTGCGATTGGGGTCGGATGAATCGTACAGTTCCCTCAGCTTTGATGCAGATACTAGAAGAATATTCAACGCAGTAATATGAATAACAATGACAGAACAAGTTCAGGAAAATTTGTGAATTTGAGGGTGTATCGTGTTATATCCCTACCCACTGTGAAAAAATGCCCGACCCTTATAATTAGGTATTCCTGAATGACAATGACAGTTTCTGATCGACCCCCCTCCAATCTGCCAATGGTTTGGTCCAAGCTTGACACCGCCATTTTACACACAACTCATGGATACCTGTCGATGGATCACAACACAAGGTATGTTGTCGGTGTACTCCTATACGTCAGTATGAACTGTTAAATGGCGTGCGCGCAGTTCTCTGCATGTGTAAAATATTCCATTCTGAAGTTGGTTCACGAATATCAAAAGGCTGTGTTGTTAGTGTCTTTGTTTACGTTTATGTGTGTGTGTGTGTAGGGGTATGGCAATACGTCACATCTTCGAAAATTGGTCATTGCATCTACCTTGGGATGCGGACAGAAACTTGACGTAGTTGGAGGGGAACAGGCCTATCCTGCCCCTCAGGTAACCCAGGCACCAGCCGCCATCTTCCCCCTCCAGCACCTCGATGACGTCATCAATCTCCAGATACAGCTCGTTGTCCTCCTGTGGGTGGTAGGTGTACAGGACCAGGCCATACCGGCGCACTGGAACGGGAAGGGACACTGCTTTTTAACAGTCTCTCAAATGTCAATGCCGTTTCCTAACTTTCTATCAACGACCCCTTGCGACTTTCGCTTTAACCTCAGTTAAATCACAAGTACTAGTTTCCAGGTACAGGCAATATTTTACAAGACAATGCTTTTAGTCTAGACGTCGTTAACCATTTTCTTTTAAGACGACACGTCTTTGGCCTATATATATTTCCATTTGATAACCTCATACGCATGTGCCATTTAGGTCAACACTTAGATAACCATTTAACATTATGCATGTATAAGTATGTTATATTGATCGCTATCCTGACCATTGCGACTGCAGAATTGATGAACACGACACGGGGTTAGGAACACCAAGGACAATATATAGAAAATCTCTACATAATGTCCTTGGGAACGTTCAATATGGCAGAGAAACGCACCCTTCCCCTTGGTCCGACGCATCGTGTCAATCCCGCCGTACGTAGGGGCGCCTGAGACTGGTTTGGCTGTATGGTGGTGCGGGAATAGTCAACATAAATACTAGTAGTTACTCCGTGTTAGAAAAATGAGCGCTGCTCGTATGTATTAAGCAAAATTTTCATTACTGTAAGATAACTTAATAAAAATGTTCAGCCAAATATACTATGCTATGATATACTCAGCCATGCCAAAAACTTAAATCATATGCCAATTCTAAACCACAGCTTTCACTCATAGGTTAATGCATTATGATGACAATGTTGAAATATTACCATTAGCACAATTCATATATTGAAGTACGGACGAATGTACAAAGCGCTTCTAGCTCTGTATGGCTGATGTACATCAAATGGATGATGAAGCCAAACGTAATATCTTCTTACTCATGATATATATCGTAATTAGTTATTTGTTAATTACATCGTTGGGTAAGAGGGGATGCACAGTATAAATCATTATGTTTACCGCAGGAAAACATATTGTTTTTGCTCAGTTTCTTCCTCTTCTTCTTCTCCAAACAGTGACCTCTGACCAGACCAATGACATGATTTGTTGACGCGTTGGGTTACATAATGTTGCAATGTCTTGGTCTGCTCTGCTCCTATCACCATATACTAGTAGTATGTATGTGAATGTGTTTGAGTAGGAATAAACAGATCAGACCATGTCCGAAGGTAAACATTATGCATTTGCTTTGCAAATGTTACTTCTCTAGTTTGGTTATTGTTGTTTTATATGCGTACCTGGTAGTTTGAGGTGTGGATGGCGGGTCACCTCTAGTGTCTCCTCGCCCGTCTTCCCGTCCGTCCCGTCCGGCTGTTTCCGCCCCATGTTGTAGTAGAAGGCGAACCGTTTCTTGTCCTGTCTGTTGCGCCGCCGCCTGACGAAGTACACCACCAGGCCCACACAGATGGCGAGCCACAGACCCCCCGCGATGGCACCCACTAGGATGGCGATACTGCTGTCGTCCAGCCAGGACTGGGAACCTAGGGTTCAATGTCCTGATGTTTGTTGATCCTATTTAGATTCTCAGTAAAAATTGCGTATCAGTGTGGTTCAAGCACCACTAACTGACCCAGTCCAATGGCTCTGAACATTTTGGCCTAGAGGTTAGCGCGTTGCGTTCGTAAGCAGGCTGCCTGGTTTCGGGAGCCAGGGTAGGCTATACTACTCGTCTCCTGCTTTAATTCATTGGATATTAACATATAGTCATGAGAATTGAAGGTTCAATGTACTCTATAACAGAAAACCTACATAAAAGTGAAATCTGTACATTATAGGGGTAGGCCTATACAAACGTTAAATGATGTCTTTGCCAAGTCAGTCCTACCTTGAACGATTACTTCCACAGACTTCAGGTCGCTTTTCCCGACAGAGTTGGCCGCTGTGCATGCGTAGATACCGCTGGCGTTCACCGTGACGTCATCCAGCACCACAGATTCTGCGCGGACGTCACGTGACACAGTCTTCGTCACCCCGCGCAGGCGCACTCCGTTCCGTGTCCACGTGATGTTGGGAGGGGGGTTTCCCTCCGCCACGCACTGCAGAGTGATGCGGTCAGACACGGAAACAGTCTGGGCGTCCGAGATGCTCAGGATAGTGGCGGGATCTGAAGCAAATCAGCAACAAAACTTGTCATGAGTGAGATACTAAGTAAGAAAAATGTGATGATGTGTTTGAGGTAATGACCTCCTGTAGGTGAACTTAGTCCCATCATCATGCATGAGGGTTGGAGCCATGGAAGCCCTCAGTGCAGTTAAATGTTGCAAACAGTTCCTAGTATTCTACATACGAATGTAGAATAACTGTTTGCTATTCTACACACTGAATCACAAGACACTCTATTTTCCAAGAAAAGAATGCTACATACATGTAAAAAAATAATTGTAGAGTTGGAAACATGTGGATTCGAGTGGATAAACTATATTGTAGATCAATGTTAACATTCTAGAAGATATAAGTTTGATCGGAGCAACTCACACAACACTCGCACAGTCAGCGCAGCGCTGGCCTTTCGAACCACGTGGTCGGTGATGCACTTGTACACGCCTGCATCACCCCTGGTCACAAAATGTATCACCAGATTCGTCGACTGCAGGTTCCCACCGGAATACTTGGTGACCAATCTCGAACTGTCGATCAGCGCCCCGTCTTTCTCCCAGTGCAGTGACGTAATATTCGGCTTCGCTTCCGTAACCGAGCACGTCAGAGTCGCCGATCTTCCACTGGCTGCCATCACAGGGTCGGACGGCCCCACTGCGATTTTCGGTGGAACTGCATCGTTTTAAACATCAAAACAGTAGTCAGTACCTTTTGGAAAAGTGACACATTGTTTCAACGTTATTTTTAAATGATTATTCTGCTAAATCTGGATATTTACTAGCTTCCAAACAGCCACGAAGAAATATTCTCAATATGTTCCCTTGATTATTTACTCTACATAACAATTGTAAACTAATTCAGAAGAACATGCAATGTCATTGAATAAGACAAAAAGAATGCATACCGATATCACGAATATCAAATAGAACTTGTAATCAATCAATTATGATCACGGGAGGAACGTTTCCGGACAAACTCTTCAGTCCAGATTGATTACAGGATACAAAACGGACGGAAGTTTCTGTCATGGGACGGCGATAATCTAATGTTCCTCAAAATGACAAACAACTTGTCGGATCCGCACGGAATGATCCTGATGAACGGTCCTGATACCACTTCTGTTCCGCGCAATTAGGACGGGATGACCGGGCTGATACCGAAAACCTGATACCATCGGCCCCATTAAATATAGATTTAGAACGATAACATAATCCACCAAAGCCACCATAACGAACGGTAAATCTTATTACCAGGTAGGGCACTGCATGCTCGTTTGCGTTACGGTCCCATGCAATGTTGGGTTGTTCCAAAGCTGTTGTATGGACGTAGTCCTTGTAACGTTTTCATAGAGTATCTGGAGCCTATGTGTACGCGTAACCAACATGTCTGATAGTTACATTTAATCTCTAGACCATTAAGTGTGAGCAAAGATGCAAAACCTGCAATAATGCATCGTTTTTGCAGGTTTACATGGTGGAATTTCTGTTAAGCATGAAGTATGATAAACTGTTATTTACCCATCACATTCAAGTCGATGAAGCCCTCTTCAGTGCCGATGCCTTGACCAATCAATGTGAGGACATACTGCCCTTGATCCTCAGCTGTAGTACGATCAATCTTCAGGGAGGCCTTTCCCACTAGTTCCACTCTTCCCTGGTAGGGACCATGGGCTTCTGTCGAGCCCATCATGGGTATGGCTGTAAGAATGGGAGTTCTTGTTTCTCTGTCGGCTTTTTTCTCCACTTTGGTCCATGTAATGGTGGCGATGCGGCGATCTGTCTGGAACGTTGCGGGTAAGGTGACGGGGTCCCCGGCTATGGTGTTCACGGTGTCCGGTAGAGTCAGGCCGATAGACGACTGACACAGACATCCTGTGGGAAAAAATTATACAGATACTGAATAACTGTCACTTAGACACACTACCAGTCAAGCTGATTATATTTCCGAAGTAGTTATACAACCATTGGTACCAGCTTGTATTCATGCCAGTCCTTGGAGTTATCATTGCATTAGCACGCTGCTGCTAACATGTCGTCGATGGAATCTACCTAGTGCCCAGGGCTAGAGATAGGGTATGTGAAGAGTCTCACATTTATACTCCCATTGAAAGCTACCAATAGCGGTGACACAAAGAAGGGGTTTGCGCAAAATCGAGTACAATGGATAGGAATTATATGTATGGAACCATTATATGTAGGGAAAGCTGTCACTGCAAAGCTCAATGTTTCACTAGGTCACGCACACATTTAATCTTGACGAATATTCCTTCTGGGCATAGCGAATATCAAATCACGGCCATATACTTCCGATTATCGTTTGTTTATAGTTAAAAGCTTTCAGTCATGAATTAAACATATAACCTCCCTTGACCTTAAGAGTTTAATGATGTACGGTTAGAAGCTACCAGCCCCATGGCCCCATTAGCGTGATGTGGACATAGAGCCCATTGACTATAGATCTCGAGGCTTTGCATACAAAAAACAGCTATTATTGCTTGCTTATCTCAAGCAAGTCTGAGGCTTTTCGTCAGATAGACTTTAGAGTAAAGTTTGCAATAAGTTTGTATCATGAGGCCTTGATCGATATCCTCCGTCCTTAGTCCTAGCGACGCCGTTTTGATTGACAGGTGAGTCAGACGTGTTTTGTGCAACTTCTGTGATACCTCAGCTATATCCCACCGATCCATACCCATCACACCAAACTCAGGTTATGAACAGATCGTCTTCCTGGAGAAAAAGCGGATAATCTCGGAATCCCTCGATCAATAAGCCGTAAATCAGAAGTTATTTCCGCTGACAGTCGCCGCGCCTCTTCCATTATCAGCTCGTAACGGGATTTTCCCGACACGATAGCGGATTTGCTGTAATGTATACACACCCTTGGAGACGGATATCTCTGCACTTCAAAATGATCCACACTTGCAAAGTCAGTTGTAAAGTGAGATTTCTTCTTCCAGAATTCCCTCGATCAACGTCTTCTGAGTTATGCCCCCTCCCTGTGCCGTTGCCCTCTGTTATAGCCCGCCGCAATAAATTTCTACTTTCTTTTATCCCCCACGAATGCGCTCGGCTACCCGTAAATACTAGTTTTGTTGCGCGTAAGCAGTTGGGAGACTATTTATATCGTCTTTACTGTTCTACCGGGTATGCGCTTCTAAGAGGGTTGCCGCCTTTAGTACAATGGATATAAAAGACTGACGTACAGCTTAGACTGATTTATTAAGAA